TAATAAATAAAGTGATATAAAATGTACCATTTTTCGTTTTTATTTTACATATCGGAATATAGGGACAGAACTCAGAAGTGACACAATTTTTATTTTTTGGCGACTTTAAGAATGTGGTAGAAATGTAGCAGCAGGGGGTCCACCGAAACCAGTAAAATTTTGAAAGTGGCCCACGAGAAAAATAAGTTTGGGAACTACTGGTGTAAACAAATTAGTTGTAAATGTTTTCCGCGATCCCAGTCAATAACCGCGTCTCCCATTGTCGAATACTCGGTAAAAAATAAAAATCACAGATGGACGCCCGAAATTAAATGAGATCTTTCCAAGTGTCCGGTACAATGTCCGCCGAAATGCACGCCGTTCAAAAAGAACGCGCGCGCTCTAGCATAGGCAGACGCACACTCTGGCCAAAGTTTACAGAATAAAATACTCTGGCGTACAAGCTAGCCGTTCGGCGCTCCGCGCTCCTTAATAGGCCTAGGCTAGCTGTACATGTTGGCTTTATTATTTATAAATCTACCTATCTCACAATTTTCACTTCTGTTTAATTATATATGCTCGCGAACGTTTTGTTCCGCTAGCTTGGACGCGGCTTTAGAATTAGAATTTAGAATGAATGGGAGGGGGGTTAATCACTGCGACCTTACAGATCTATTGTGTTCCCCTTTCTTGAGTTACAACTCATCATACAGTCCCAGGGCTTTGACAAAAGCCAGTATCTGGGACGGTTTTACGGAGGGTACTTCTCCATCTCCAATATCAGTCGTACCAAAGTTCATGGCACGAATGGTTGTCGTCTCGGCGCACTCAGTGATGTAGTGTTCTGGTGTTTCCCCATCTTCCCCACAGAATCTGCATTCGCCGTTTCTTCTTAGTTTCAATCTACTGAGGTGTTCATTGAGGAGACAGTGCCCTGTTAAAAACCCCGTGACAATCTGAAGATAGTTCTTACTTAACTCCAGGAAGATCTTTGATTTTTCTTGTTCGTACGCCCTCAGAAACTTCTTCGAGTGTCTTAGATCGTTGCTTTACTTAAGCATTTAATATACAGGGTGTTCATTTTAAAACTTACCACCCACGTTATCTGCAAAAATAGACAGATTTGTGATATTGGCGGAAACACGTCAATAAATTTATCGAGGGGGAAGGTGTTTTATGAAAAATCGGATGGCCCTGCTTCAACCCCCTAACCCCCAGGGCTAGCACCCCAATTTTTTTAAACGAGACAAGGGGTCGTGTGACACATCATTTTAAAGGGCTTTTTATTCTGAACGTTTTGACGTCCTATTTTTTAAATTTTAATTTACCGTTGAGGAATAACACCCATTTTAAGGTTGGAATAATTATTTTTATTTAAATCATTACCTAATCACTAAGCTTATCTAATTAATTGCTCAAAGTGTTCTCCATTGACTTGTAAACAATAAAATAATCGCTGTTCAAATTCTTGACGGACATTTTGAAAAATTTCCTGAGGTATGGCCCTACACGCTGCTGTTATGCGATTTTTTAAATCTTCAATGTCTAGGGGAACGGTTTTATAAACTACTGACTTTAAATGACTCCAAAGATAAAAGTCGTTTAGGTTAGGTTAGGTTAGGTTCTTCCTATCCACCTCTCTGGAAATCTGTTGCCCAGCCAATCCGAAACATATCTGGCGTAGTGGGGAGGAAAGAGAATAAAATCTTTATTAAGTATGGCGTTACCGACTTCATCCCTTTGATTTTCCACTGCATAAGTAATTAGTGGATCAATTGCTTCTTCCAACATGTTTAGGTAAATCTCTCCCGTCAGATTTTCATTTAGGAATATTGGACCTAGTACAGTATTACCCAGAATTCCCGCCCAAACATTGATTTTTTGTGGGTACTGCGTATGACCTTCTCTAAAAATATGAGGGTTTTCATCACTCCAATAGCGACAATTATTGTTATATATTTATCGGAGTACACCTCCACCTGTGAATACCTGAAAAATAGTGAAGCTGATGTCATAAGTTTAGTTGTCAATGATTTGTAATTTTGAAATGGTATTTTAAATAAAAATAGAGTTTAGTGCACTTTATATATCTATAAACCCCCCAAGAAACATAAAAGTGGTGTCAGAAGCGGGATAGATATATAAACTCGTGAAAGTGCAACATAGAAACGAAATCTACGAACGCCAACGCAACCTCGTCAAACTTCGTGCTCAAATACAGACATCGTCACTTTGGTAAGTCTCCTGTTTATAAACGTTGTTCAACATGGCTCAAGTAACACCAGAATTACTCCAACAACTATCGGGATTAATTGCCAATGCCATACGACAGTCTCAAATACCTGGTCCAACAGAACAAACGTCATCAGCACAGCCTCGACCACCCCAATTCTCCATGCAAGCGTATCGCGCTGCCGACGGAACTTCAATCACGGACTACTTTACACGGTTCACCTGGGCGCTCAATCTGAGTAAAATCCCTGAAGAACAGCATTCTTATTCATTATGCACGTGTCTATATGGGTTCTGAGCTCAACGATGCCTTAAAGATCCTTGTCAGTCCTGAAGATCCAGAATATTTAACATATACTCAAATTCAAACGAAACTTACTGTTCATTTCGACGCAACACGCAATAAGTTTGCTGAAAGTATCAAATTTCGAAGCATCATGCCAAAACCAGGAGAATCCATTGCTAGTTTTACCTTAAGACTGCGACAAGCTGCAACCTATTGTGAATATGAAGCATTCCTCGACAGAATGTTGATTGAACAAATGCTCGCAGGTCTAGAGTCAAGAGAAATGTGTGACGACCAAACAGTTCATCAACACGCCGATACCAGAAATCACCAAATCAAGCAAGGTATCACCAAACAAATCAGACATCCAAAGACAATCAGCCAGTATGCTCAGGTTGTGGTGAAAATCACCCTCGAAGTCAGTGCAGATTCCTCAACGCCAACTGTCTCAAGTGTGGAAATAAGGGACACATCAGCAAGGTATGTCGATCGAAGACAACACGGGGTACAAATCTTGTCACGGAAGATAAACCAGCAGAAAACATTGATGTCGTGCAGCATCTCAGTAAACTAGAGGTAATTGGAACAGTCCAGTCATCACCAAAGAAACTGATTGATGTCAACATAGAGGGAACCACTGTCGAAATGGAACTTGACACCGGCGCTCCATGCTCTATCATAGCCAAATCAAAAGTAGCTACAATCAAACCAGAGTTTCAGTTACAGAAGACAGATCGTCACTTCGCTAGTTACACGGGTCACCGCATCAACTGCATTGGAAAGACGTCCGTCAACGCCACCATTGGTACCACCACTAGCAACCTATACCTCTACGTAGTTGCAGGAGAGTGTGAGACGCTACTTGGACGAGAATGGATCTCTGAGTTTGCCCAAGAGATCAACTTTGAACGCCCCTTTGCAAAACTTGATCTAATTCATAATCTGTCAGTCAAACAACCACTGTCCTTACAACATCAAAGACAACTTGACCACATCCTCAACCTGTACCAAGACGTATTCAGCAAGTTATTGAGTTTATTGACATCTCCATTAAGGAAAAATGTGCATTCGTCAGTAAAACATGTGTTTAAAAGCAAATTTGGAGTTAGTGCAATGTACTGGGTCATTTCTTCACAAAATTGAATTCTTCGATCTGGGTCATCTTCATTTAATGCGTGAAGAATGTGAATTTTATACGGATGGAATTTGTGAAGCTTAGTTACCTCGTGGATTGATCCGACTGACACGTAGGCGGTATTAGAAACCTGCCTTATGGAAGTACATGGATCTGCCGCAAAATGTACTAAAACCTCAGTTTGAGTAGCCTCATCCAGAACCCTAGGACCTCTATGTTTTGAATTGGCTACCGACCCCGTGGTTCTAAACTTTTGAATAAGCTGCATGCAATAAACGCGAGAAACATTTTTATCGGGATGTCTCGCATTGAAAACAGCGGCAGTAGCCCGGGGTGATTCATTACATGCTCCATAAATAAGCACTAATTCAACTCTTTCTTCCAGAGAGTAAACCATTTTTATAAAACTGTAGCGCGAAATTGAAAGAAAACTTATGCATTCACATCACAAAGTGACACTGATGTTTCGTGGGAATTCTTCTGGAATGTCATAAAATAAACAAATAAAAAAGAAAATTTTAATGATAACAAAAAAGTCTGTTTAAAAAGGTGAAATGCATGTTGTTTACTGATTTTTTTTAATAATAAACATGTAATTTTTATAGCATTTATGGGACAGAGCAGTAATTTGGATATTTTTATTATGTCTACCTATTTAAACCTTAACATGGGTGTTATTCCGCAACGGTAAAGTAAAATTTAAAAAATAGGACGTCAAAATGTTCAGAATAAAAAGCGCTTTAAAATGATGTATCACACGACCCCTCATGACATTTAAAAGAATTGGGGTGGTAGCCCTGGGGGTTAGGGGGTTGAAGCAGGGCCATCCGATTTATCATAAAACACCTTCCCCCTCGATAAATTAGTTGACGTATTTCCGCGAATATCATAATTCTGTCTATTTTTGCAGATAACGTGGGTGGTAAGTTTTAAAATGAACACCCTGTATAAATAATAGCAGAGCCTTTAAACGTATATTTTGTGACTGACTATTTAACCCAGCATGTTTCATTTTTTGACTTCTTATGAGTTAAATATAATACACTCTTTTCTACATACTGACATTTTAGGGGTCCCTTTGTTTTTTTTAATCCTGCAATAGTTGCCTTAGCACCAAATGCCTTTTATGGAAGAAGTAGTTTTTTTTTATTTAAATGGTTGTATGTTGTAACTAAGAAAAAACTAAAAGCTTTGAAAACGGTCTCATTTTTACCACCTCATCCAATCTAAATTGTAAATATATTTTTTTACAAAATATGTTTTGAAATTATTATTTTTTAGAAAAATTAAGAATCAGACTGTAGGTTATAATCTTATATTACATGTTTTTATATGCTACTTTTATTTAATACAGTATTTTATTTTTAGTATATCGAGGATTTAAATACCATAAACAATTTTAAAGTGAATGATGTACAAGAAGTAATAGTTAACGATGAGCTATCTCCATTAATTGATATTTTGGTTGAACAAATACAAAGCATTTCCAAACTGATACTCCTTTAACAGTTTTATTAGTTTTAACTAGGTAAGCAAAGGATGTAAGCAAAGACATCTAACTTAAAGGAGTCAAAACTATTTACTATTGTATAATAAAACTATTGTTTTATCCCGATCATCGTTTTGAACAAAAATCCACGTTGACAATTTTCTGCGGATTGCGTTAGATCTACGTCTTCTGTTTGAAAACGAAGTTTGTTATTACTGTTATTAAGAATATATAAACAAGGCTGTTATTAATGTTTTTTTTTGGATACCTATAGAAATGGCATACAAAATATACAGAGTGACGCACTTCATTCGCCTTGGTTGATTACAAAATACGTTTTATTTTGTAATTTTTTAATTTGTAAATTTTTTTAAAAAATTGTACGAAAACGGAAAGATATAATCAAAACAAAATATTTAGGGGTATATGTGGGATGGCAATGCGCATAATTTAAAATTATTTTGAAATGTACAGGGTATGTCAGAACTAAGATCCACATCAAAGTTTTTTTTTTATGGAACACCCGGTATTTTTTATTTTATATTTGGATCCTTGGGCAAAAAATAAGGCATTTATTATAAGGGTTAAATGTGTATACAAGCTTTGGTTCTTGGGATAATTAGAAATATTTAAATATGCATGCTAATAAAAAAATTGTCAACACCCTGTACATTACTTTTCAGATTTAATTCTTGTGCTGACTTTGAAGCCAGAGGAATAAACTTTACTAAAAAAAATTATTGCCTCCTTAAATATATACAGGGGTATTAAAAATTGCTGGTCTATTTTAAATATTTATTTTACGTAAAAACTTTGTTATTTCATTCTTCGTTTCTTGATAGAATAATAAATACTATTTATTAAACTATTATAGGCAAATTAAATAAAAGAAAACTGATATAAATTTTAATAAGGTCCATAAACTAATTTCGGTTTTGAAAATAGCTACTAACTGTCACTAGAAACTTGCCATCACGACATCAGCCCTTTTGATTGCCATTTTATTGAAAAATCGCTTTATATTCAAAATCTGAGCTAGATAGGTATAGGAAACTTTAATATAGTTTGAATGAGCATACAAATCTCCTTAGATTTATTTAAAAAAACACAGGGTGTTGCATTTGAAATAATGTCGCTTATGTCAAGAGCAAGAATTTTTGCTCTTGACAATAACAAAGTTTTTATGTAAAATAAATATTAAAAATAGATCAGCAATTTTTGGTAGCCCTGTATAAATTTAGGGAAACAATAACATTTGTCAGTAAAGTTTATTTCTCTATATTTAAACTCAACACAAGAATTAATTCTGAAAAGTAATGTACAGGATGTTGATAATCTATTCTATTGTAGCATGCATATTTAAATATCTCAAAAACCAAAGATTTTAAACATATTTAATCCTTATAATAAATGCCTTATTTTGTGTCCAAGAATCCAGATATGAAAAAAATTCCGGGTGTTCCATAAAAAAATATAATTTTGATTTGGATCTTAGTTTTGAAATATTTGAATAAATAATATTTGGCGACATAATTCCGGAAAAAGCCGAACCGCTCCGAAATTATCTAAAGCTTTGGAGAGCAACCGCTGTAAGAATAGCGCCAAATAGTATTTACATTGTTTTTAGGGACACTTTCCAATCTAAACTTGTTTCCTTTATCTATGGTTTGATGGGAACTTGTAGACCGAAAATTGTCATTTTTATGAACCCCTCTTTTTTTTAAATTATATAAAATTGTATATATTATTGTAAACAAATGGTATTTTCCGAATAGACTGTTGTGTTTCCCTTTTAGTTAGATGTCTTTGGATATAACAGTAAAAAAGGAATATTTATTGTGATAAAATAAAAGTTACTTTTTAATTTATATTTGTATGTGTTTATTTATATTATAATTTGCGTATTAATATTGCACACTTGTAAAATAAAGAGAATTGGTATTTTTGTTATTTTATTTTGTTTATACTATTAATAATCAATTTAGTTAATGTAAAGTCTTCAAAATACAAATTTTCCAAAATATCGTAATGATCGACTTCTGTTATAATATGCAGTTCGTTTTCTACTTTATTTTGCTTTAATTTACGTTGGAACTGTTTGGCTTGCTTGATGAATAAAGGACTGTCGTACTCGCTGGCGATAATGTAGAATTTCGTCGTTCCATAGTTAAGTTCGTTCAATAGCGGGCTCAATTCTATGGCTGTTTCCGTGGATAAATTTAACAATTGATTTGCAGAGACCTCTGTTATTTTTTCAATATTATACAGCGCGCTTATTAAGAAGCACCCTTTTACTATATGCTTTTCTTCCTCGTTCAAATCGGCACAGAGTTTGGAAAATAGAACTGAAACTGCGTGCGCTCCGCCAGAATGTCCGGAAAGGAATATGCCCCTAAAATTAAAAGAAAAACGTAAACAACTTATGATGTAAAACATTTGTTACAGTTGAGGGTTGGAACCTTTGGTGTTACACAGCAAAATAAAATTACACTATGCTAACGTGGTTAGCGAAACGCGCGTCCAGTATAAACGTAAAAGTGTTTGGGTGTATTGTGGTGATTTAGTGTAATTTTATTTTGTAAAACATTTGGCAAATATTTATAATATTTAATTATACAGGGTCGCTTCTATGTATGGAAACGGTCGATTATTAGGTAAAATATAGGAGGTACCGCAAAAAGTTAAATACAAAATTATAGGGTTTTTAAATGTCTCTTGGCGAGTAATAAATTTATGTGTACGGGATTAGGTTCTAAAGTCGTGGCACATCAAAGTTTCATTTTTTAAATAGAGCCCTCTGTATATTATTGCATATTTCAATAATTCTTCCTTCAATTCTATGCAAAAATCGAAATACACACAATGTACCTCAAACCCAAGGACTGTATATATTCTAAAGGACTGTTCGATCGCGTCAAATCGCCGCTGTCGTAGTCGCCGTGGAATGCTACGTCACGCGCTGACCAGCAAATCACAACCAAATTTGGTTGATAAAAATGTATCGAAATACAAAGAATATTCATACATTTTTATATCAGTTGGAATGTCTACTATACTCTGTTTTTTTTCTCAGGTAAGATTTCGACAGACGATGACAGAAGAAAAGCAGATGACGTCCCATACCAATCTATTTATTTTGCTAAAAAAAGTTTCTAATAATTTTTAAGTTATCTATTGATGGGTTTAAATATAAATCCGTCATGCGTCGTGTCTTGTTGTTTTTAACCAGTTTTATTGGTTTATTTAAAAAATGACAGATCGTATTTCAATTTTATTGGTTTGACGGAACGATGAACCACAAACGGACGCCGATGCGTATGATTTATTTTAAAAAAATATATTTTATTTTGAAAATAATAAATAAGATAGATATTTTAATTTTAATTTTAACACTCGGTAATAGTAAATTCATATCATATAGTTCATAAATAGTAAGTATCTAAGACAATTTTTTAAACTCAGTGCCTTTTGATGGAGTTGTTTTGTTTTTATACTATCCGATTGAAATGAATCTTTTTGGGCATTTACCTGTTAAGCTTGAACTCCCTGTGACTGTGACTGCCTGTGTTGGTAACTATTGGTAACTCAAAAGATCTACATCATTCAATATATCGATATTTGAAAAAAAGCGAAAGTTTGATATCTGCAGAACAAAGGCACGAAGGATTTTAACAAATAATATACGTACAGTAGAAAAGTACATACCTTTGGCAATCTTCAACATAATTTGGCTTTCTAATAAAATGTATAAGCACTTGTAAATATTTTGTTTTCGTATGATCTCTGCCTTGTTGAGGAGAAAACGATTTCTTTGTTGATAAAAAATGTATCGAAATACAAAGAATATTCATACATCTTTTATATCAGTTGGAATGTCTACTATTTATTCTTATCAGTACACATTTTTTGGCTTATTTCTAACCAAACGCTTTTGTCCCGCTAAATTTATCTTCCAACGCACTGTGCGCTCGTCCGTCAAATGCAAAAATAACTGTCACTGTCTAAAATCTTTACCGCCAACTTCAACTCGGTCAGTAGATGACGTAAAAAAACTGACAGTGCAGGAAGATAGGAATCGAACTATCCTTATCTCTATAGTATCCTTGGCTCAAACCAACCGTTTCCGAGTTATTGACTTTTGAACATATATCGCTTAAACAATTTGATTTAATTAATTTCGATATGTTCAGTTTCATTTAATGATGCCATTCTGCCGGAACTGTGATACTGTTGTAATGGGTTTTCAAATGCCTATTAGCTACTAGTACATTTAAGTATACAAGGTCGGTCATAAAGTTGTGGCACATTCAAACTTTATTTTTTTAAATGAAACCGCCTGTATATATGCATATTTAAATGAAACCGCCTGTTGCATATTTCACTTCTTCCTTCATTTTAAGCAATAATCGTAATACACAATGTACATAAATTGAAGAATTGAAATGTTAAACGAACATTCTGTAATTTCCAGACTTGATACCAGGGTTGGAAAAAATCAAGATCTTTTTAAGAAAATCAAAAAAATCAGATTTATTTGATTTTAATCAGATTTTTTTTATTTAAATCATATTTTTTTGATTTTAATTCAATTTAAATCGATGATTTCCAAATGACTAGGACTTATTTCCAATTAAAGTCCTATCCTAAATGGCTAAATCTTTATAACTCTGCCCGTTATCGATAACATTAATAATTCTACGGTGCGTTTGTCATTTTTCCACATCGGTCACCAATATTTTTCGCAAAAAGTCGCTCGCTTCAGATCAAAAGAATTTTTTTTCAAACGTCTCAAAAGTATTAATTTTTGTCATTTTAACGCCTAGGTATAAAAGTAAAGCACTGTTACGCCTAAGCACAAAAGTACAAAAATATACTCTTAAACTGATATTAAGTGTCAAATTCAACGAGTGTACAAATTGTTGCTCGATTACTGTTTATATTATTTGCAATGTTTGAAATTGATTAAAAATGATTTGTAATGTTTTAAAAAATAGTTTGTATGTTCTATTAGGAGTAAAAATGTACTTTTTGTGCTTCCTTGTAACGTCGGAATAGCTTTACGATGGTCCTTCAAAGGTATAGAGCATCATCAAAAAAAGTATAATTTTTACTCCTAATAAAACAATACACTATTGTTCGGAAATATTCTTAAGTCGAGAATGAAATTAGTATTATCTAATGTCAAAGTGTAAAATACTTACTGCAGATCAAAATGTCGGTAAGAATTTGGAAAAATACAACCATTTCAAAAAAAATATAAAACAACATATTTCCTGATTCTCGGGAATGAAGATATAGTCTCTATATCAGAAGAACCTAGTTCTGCACTAGACTGCGAATGATATGTATTCGAACAGCGAATTTTTGTCACTTATACATAAATTTTAAAATAAATCCCTGCGTTTAGCGGTCTAATGGATTCACACGAAATTGCTTCAAAAATCGGTTCAACATTTAAATCGATGAATAGATATTTTTATATACTCGTAGTTTGATACCTCATTTTATACATAAATAATTAAGGCAATGGCCTAGCTACGTTGAAATACCGGTTCCTATTAGAGCACCGAAGTTAAGCGACGTAAGGCGATACTGGTGGATGGACGGGTGACCGGTTCGAAACTCTGTATCGTGCTGTTGTCCAAGGAAAAAGTGTAAAATCTATTGATACACACTGCTCATTCACGCCGGTTCGAGGCCGGATGAGATCGGATATCTCGTGAGTAAGAGTTAATTTAGACACTTCCTAAGTCGGTAGGCCACTGACCATGATATGGCCGAGGACCGCGGTTCGGATTCCGCGTAAACAAAGTAGGCCCCATCCAGATTAGCCCTGGCAGCAAAAAGGAGACATTAGACAGTTAAAGTAAGGCACAATACGTATACGTATCTCTCGACACGTAACGCAGAAACTTACGTTACGTCTGCCGTTGCGTTGTCGTGTAAACAAGAGTTAAAGCAAGTATTTTGACGTACGTAACGCAAATGATACATTTGTAATTCTAAATTATTTTGTGAAACAATTTATTTCATTTTAAAATTGAAAATGGATATCTATTATTCCATTGATTCCACATTAAATTTATAACAGTAATATCGAAAAACGAAGAAAATTATAAATGGAAATTATTTTATTACAGAAAGTAGTCTTTACAACTTAAAATGCTCTTCGTAATAAAAAAAATATTGGAAAACAGACACAGATTTATGATTATTTATTAGATTCCTTCTTTTAGAATCCTCATATGGATTTTGGCTATAAGAACTAGCATTTAATTAAATAGATTCCAAAATGAGTTTATTATGATGCTTAATATTTTCATACTAATTTATTGTAATAAAATAGGCCCAGTTCTGTGACACTGGCCCCAAAATTTATGAAATAACTTAATTACTAGCCAGTTGTGGAAACGAGTTGTTTGTGAATTTGTACGTTCGACATCATTCGGGTGAAAATCGAAACTCCTTCGGCTCGATACGTTTGCCTTTTGTACTTACGTAAAGATACGTATCACGTATCCGTAAACGCAAGTGAATTTCTCACTGCGCAAGCGTACATGTCAAACGATACGTTTACGTCTACGTCTTTGGCCGTGCTTTAACCGTCTATTAACTGAAATCTTTACTTTTATACATCAATAAATGCTAACTTGAGAACTAATGTCAAACATTATTAAGTATCACAGTTTCGGTAGAATGGCATCGTTAAATGAAACTAAACATATCGAAATTAATTAAATCAAATTGTTTAAGTGATATTTTCAAAAGTCAATAACTCGGAAACGGTTGGTTTGAGGTACCGGGTGTCCCGCTAAGAATAGCTCTCGGCTGTATCTCGGAAAGTATTAGCCGTAGGGCTTACGGAAAAAAAAATATTTATAACTAGGTAAAGGGGCTATGAGAGATTGCTGGAAATTATTTTCAAGTTTGTAAAACGGTCGCTAGGTGGCGCAACTGCTATGGAGAATAAGAAAATAGATTTTTTACAGAATTTTGCCTAGATAATGGGTACTGTAAATAATAGCTTCATATCTTCAGTAAATTTTGGATTTTTTTTGTTAGAACCATTTTCCCCCAGCTGCTAAAATAAAGTGGTGGGGGAAGGTACATAGAACTATCTTTATTTAAATGTTAATAACTCCGGACTGGGGATGACCAGAATCCAACAAACGAGGGCTCGTTTAAAAGAGCGTTTGTTACTCTATATTGTACCATAAAAAAATAATAATATGGTTTTGAACGTAGACGCTAGGGGGCGTTTTCTTACAATTTAACAAACATAGCGCGTTTTTTCAAAAAAATTAAATACGATAGTATGTGTTCTTTTAGCTGATAGTAAAGAGTAGTAAAAGCTTAAAAAGTCAGTGAAAACCGCATCTTGATATCTTCTTT